ATCATCCTCGCAGTGGAAGACCACGTGTAACAACACCTGCACAGGATCGGTACATCCGAATATCACACCTGCGTGACAGGTACAGGATGGCCACAACAACTGCCAGAGTCAAACCAGGAACACACAAGCCCTCCATCAGTGCTCAGACTGTCCGCAATGGGCTGAGAGAGGCTGGACTGAGGGCTTGTGTGTTCCTGTGACTGTGAAATACACAGTCCTGAAAAAGGGACGTTTCTTTTTTTGCTGAGTATATTAAAAAATGTTCTCCTGTGTCTGTGTTAATGTCCTTTCTTTCTGACTGAATGACATATTACATACTGTGCATTTCATAGTCTGCAGTACAGACATCTTACCCTCAGTGACTGACAGGTAAACCCGTCTTCCCACAGCTGAACCTCTGCTGATCTCCACAGCACACCAGTAGTCATCAGAGTCCACAGTTTTCAGATTGTTCATGGTCACAGTGAAGAATCGCTGGTTAGGATCATCTCTGATTGACACTTCACCACTTATCTTTGGGCGATTAGTGCGTACTTTGGGAGTACATGAACTCCAATCACTTCCTTTGCACCAGTATTTTTCATGATGTTGATACATCTTGTCATAGAAACATGGGATGGTGACAGACCCTCCACTATGTACAGTCACTGTGCTCATTGTGGACACATCTGCAGGGACAGTATGAAAATTACCCAGCTGATTAACTCTCACTCCCTCTTACACCATTTATACACATATTCTATACCTAGATACCTCAGTCCTCTCCAATTTTAGACCTATTTCTAAGCTTCCATTTCTGTCTAAACTCTTGGAAAAAATTGTTCTCCTTCAATTACAATCTTACTTAGACATGAATAATATTATTGAACCTTGTCGATCAGGTTTTAAAGCCCTCCACAGTACTGAGTCTGCTCTCTTAAATGTTTTCAATGACCTTTTATTAACCACTGATGCTGGCGATTGTGCCATTCTGGTTCTTTTAGACCTCACAGCAGCTTTTGACACAGTTGACCATAGCATACTTGGTCAACTGGAGCATAGTGTAGCCATTAAAGGCATTCCACTGGAATGGTTCAAGTCATATCTCTCCAACAGAACCTTTTCAGTTAGCATTGGAGACTGTATTTCCTCTTCAGCTCCTCTCCACTGTGGAGTTCCCCAAGGTTCTATCCTGGGGCCTATGCTTTTTTCCCCTGTACATACTTCCTTTGGGCTCAATTCTAAGAAAACATGGTGTCTCCTTTCAGTGTTATGCAGATGACACCCAAATTTACTTCCCACTACAGCGATCAAATAATAATCAATTAAGACCTTTGTTGGACTGCCTGGAGGACATAAAAGCCTGGATGACCTTGAATTTTTTAAATTTCAATGAAAGTAAGACTGAGGTCATTGTTTTTCGTCCAAGTGGCAACAATGAACCACTTCACTTGAATCTAGATTGCTTGGAACCTTTTGTTAAGTCTTCTACCAGGAATCTGGATGTGATAATGGGCAAAGATTTTAAAATGGATAAACAAATTAGGTCTGTAGTTAAATCAAGCTTCTTTCAGCTAAGACTGTTATCCAAAGTTAAGCCCTTTCTGTCATTTGAAAATTTAGAAAAAGCAATTCATGCATTTATTTCATTGACACTTGATTATTGTAATGCATTTCTTGCAGGTATTAATCAGACCTCCCTTTCCCGTCTGCAGCTTGTACAGAATGCTGCAGCACGTCTTTTAACAGGAGCTAAAAAGCATACTCATATTACTACTCTCTCCACTGGCTCCCTATACAGTTCAGAATTAACTTCAAGGTTCTCCAGTTCACTTTCAAAGCCTTAAACGGACTGGGCCCTTCATACATCACCGAACTCATAACTCCTTACGCACCACCGAGATCACTTAGGTCAGCTGATCTGTCTTTATTGAGGGCCCGGAAGTCTAGGCTGAAGCAGAGAGGTGATTGTGCCTTCTATCCTGGCCCCTAAACTGTGGAATGCCTTACCTCTAACTGTCAGAACTGTTTTCAGATCCCGTCTTAAAACGCATTTTTACTCACTGGCTTTTAGCTCACTGTGATCACTCCAGGTTTTACTCTCTTTTATAGTGTCATTGTTTACTGACTGTTTTATTGGTTTGTTTTTATTTTCTTTTAGTTTTATGTTGACTCTGTGTTACTTGCTTTTTGTTCAGCACTTTGGGATCAACTCCTGCTGTTTAAAAAGTGCTTTACAAATAAATTTGATTTGATTCATTCATAAAGTCAGTACAAGTCCACTATAGGTTGCAGTACTTCACTACGTAGATTATTAAAGTATTTTCTGTCACCGTATTTGCAAAAATAAAAGTGTAATGAACTGATCAGTTAGTATAAAATTAGCTCAAAAAACACTACTTTGCCTGCTTACAATTATTTAAATATACATATGTTGGCCAAACATCAATAACAGAGCCAAACTCATGCTCTTTTGTGGTATGTTAATTTATGCATATTTTGTATTACTTACATTAAAGGACATTCCTTAACATATTACTTATATTTAGCCCCCTGAACTGACCCTGTTATTACTTCAGGTCTCATTTATGGTATTGATCAAAACTGAATCTGACATCAGTGTTTAATTAATAAACTGTATGTCTCACTGTGAGGAGGAGACTAAGATTATTGTGTTATGTTTATGGAAACATCAGGCATAAATACTTGATTTAAATACTTTGTAACGATTGTAACAAATACACACACACGCATATACAGTGGTACCTTGGTACACGTCCGCTTTGGAATAAGTCCAACTTGGTATACGTCCTGCTTGGACCGGAAAAATTTTGCTTGGTATACGACCTTTGTTTGGAATATGACTCCCGTGCTAGAGCTTGTATGGATCAAAATCAGTCACGACACTTTATATTTATGTATTTTAGTATTAAGCAGTGTTTAAATTGTTTTATACGAGCTAGGCAGTCAAAAACTGTGCATTTCTCCATATGTATGTGATGGACTTTTGCTAGACGTTTCGACAGATTACTGTTGTTTCTACCCTTATACGCAAAAGACTTGATACTTAGTCATTGCCAGCATTGACTCCAGTGAAATGTAATTACACTTTTGAACATTTAGTTCTCTTTGCCACCATCACTAAAAGCAGAGACTCTGTGTGTGCTGTATGTTGCAGTGCATGAGAGAGAGAGCGATTGAGCCATGCTCACATCCAATAAACTAAAACTAAATGCAAATTAAATAAATATTAGACGAGGATCCGTGATATACAGCCGATACCCGATCCGTCTAATAGGTATGGATCGACGCCGATACCGATCCAAATATCAGATTGGTGCACCTCTATGGCTGATGTTTCACAACACAACATTTCACAAATAAAAATGTACAGTGTCACTGCCCAACCCCAACACAGGCACACATATACCCAACATGTCACAGTATGACAAGAAAGGTTCCCATCTGGAGTAGAGCTTTTTCACAGACCCCTCAGCCTACATTTAATCTTTTCTAGCTTTAGGAAGTGAGTTATGTCTTCCAGCAAAGCAGCAGCAGATGGAGGAGTGGGAGATTCCCAGGGCAGCCAGATTCTCCTACAGGCCAAAAGCGACTTGAATGCAATGACGGCAGATTGATTTACATTTATATCAAAGTTGTCATCTGCTACCCCAATTAGAGCTACAAGCTGACAAGGTCTCGATGTCACCCCAAGAGCATTGTATTGGGACAAACTCACAGACGATTACATCACCCACATAACATAGAACTAATACTGTAACCTTCAGGACAAGTTGTGATTGTTCAACTTCACCTATAAGATATACATATGAGGTTGTAGGATCACACATGCACATATCACAGGGCCTAAATTCCAGGTGGCCTGAGACAAGGCCGAGCCTGGT